TTCTGCGTCCATGCAGGGCCATATAGCGAAAATGATAGCAATTGTACCTATCATCTGATAAAAAGATTTTTGAGATATTTATCAGCAAATTTGAACTTAATTTCAAGTAAAGGTAATTTTTAGAACGATTGATGAACTTATATCTGTGGAAAACCAAATATAAAAATAATAACTTATGTATTGGATTTTTCATTTCACAAACTCGAAGGATGTAGTTTGTGAAAGGATGTAGTATGGTTCGAACGTCACCAACGCATTGTATCTAACCACTGAGATAAATATAATTTAAGCACAATTAACGGACAACTATCAAACTCACACTAAAAGTTTTACATTGACATAAAAACTTTATCTTATATCTGAACTTATATCTTCAGCCAGCTAGAATTGTCTCTGAAAAACCACGTATAAAAATAATAATTTATGTATTACATTGATTTTCATTTTACAAACTCGAAGGATGTAATATGGTTGATCGATCGTCACCAACTTAATGTATATTTAACCATTTAGTTAAATGTAATTTAAGCACAATGTACATTCAACTACAAACTCGAATCTTAACCTTATAGCCATTATCGGACAATAAAAGTTAAAAACCTTGTGCGAACTGTGAAAGAGTACTTTTTCTCGCAGTATGTTTGCGTATAAACATATTATAAAGTACTGACTTCGCAAAAACTCTATAGGTAGCCACCTTAATCTAAAGTTGCGTCGTTTAATAAAATAAATAATTTCTGGGCATTACGGTGGTATATAATTTTGCTGCACTGCACTTATAAACAAGGGGAGATTTTCGTTTTATATTAGACCAATCATCAAGTTTGTTTACATTTCAGTAACGATTCAAACTATGACCATTGTGTTTTAAATAAACAATTATCTAAAAAGCAAATAATTGATCGCTTTTATATTTTTATTAATAGTTTTAACCGCTTTGCTATAATGGACACGCATTACTCCCTCTATATATCTGAAACCTTATATTATTACCAACTGCATAGATCTGTGTAGATCATGTGGATAGATCCGATAGATCAATATTGCATTCAGTACCAACTCAAAACTGTCTATCAGTATATCTCTGATTGTGTAGTTGGGATGTGCTTGTCTAACTTTACCTACCAATATAGCGGCTGAATAGAACAACAGCGAAGATAACAAAAAGACATGATAACAGCAAAACTGCCCACCAACTGATACCATGCGAGAATCCAAATAATGAAAAAATTAAAGTTGATGCAACCAGTTCAGATCGGGTCGTTTATTATCGGCAACGTCACTTCACACCTGGTACCACTCAGTTTTACCATTGTTTCCAAACATTACGTAATATATGGGTTATCAATTTGTCCTTCTAAATAAATAATCTACCCTCTTAAGATCCGAAGAATATTGGATGGGTACTTTTATCTTTAAATTCGTAAGAAACGTTCACTAAATAGTAAATACATGGTGGAATGGGCACAAAACCTTGAATACATCTAAACATGCAAAACCGTACAACCCCCTATTAAATATCAACACCACCCCTATTAAGAAAAGCAAAAAATTTTAAGATCCAGACTTGACAATATTGTACAGGGGTACTTGCATGGTATGAAAGGGAACTTTAACAGGCTATTTTATTTAAATTTTTTATACTTCGCGTTCTTCGTAAATTTTTAAAACAGAATAAATCATGATTTTTTGTAGTGAACCGCCTCAACTACATTTCCCATAGGGAAATCCGAGTTAACTCAGAAATACACGACTCTGATTGGGCAATTCTGTTAACTATAGTCTTTTAAACAACTGACCCCAGGCCCATGTTTTTGTTTTGGAAAGACATTACATTACATTTGATTTTCTTTGATCTTTAAAGTAACTGAACGTAGTAACGCATATACATTCCTATTTTTCACAAAATATAAATCACATGCATGGCAACAAGGTTATCGAGTAAAATGCAATAATCGGTAAGGTGTACTGACGTAATCTACTCTTTGATATCTTGGTTGTGGAAGGTGCAAAATGTTAACTGTGCCAGAAATTTATAATGATCCCATCTCTTCACAATGTAAAATTCTTATATATTGTTCCCCGAACATGCACATTTTCAAAAGTCGTATGACTCCCACATTTTTTACCGCCCCTATCCCATTAGAATGATTTATTAAACGTCCTAAAAATGGTTCAGTCAATTAGCAACATATCCTTTGAGATACTGTAAGTAATGATCGAAGTTATACCTATGACTATTGTTGTTGATTCATTCGTTTTTGCTTGTTTTGCTTCTGTTGTACGTCGATGTACTTCGGTTGTAGGTTGATTTACTTTTGTTGTAGGTCGATGTACTTTCGTTGTAGGTAGATTTACTTCGTTGTAGGTAGATTTACTTTCGTTGTAGGTAGATTTACTTTCGTTTAGGTAGATTTACTTTCGTTGTAGATCGATTTACTTTCGTTGTAGGTAGATTTACTTTCGTTGTAGGTAGATTTACTTTCGTTGTAGGTTGATTTACTTTCGTTGTAGGTAGATTTACTTTCGTTGTAGGTTGATTTACTTTCGTTGTAGGTAGATTTACTTTCGTTGTAGATCGATTTACTTTCGTTGTAGGTAGATTTACTGTCGTTGTAGGTAGATTTACTTTCGTTGTAGATTGATTTACTTCGTTGTAGGTCGATTTACTTTCGTTGTAGGTAGATTTACTATCGTTGTAGGTAGATTTGCTGTCGTTGTAGGTAGATTTGCTGTCGTTGTAGGTAGATTTGCTGTCGTTGTAGGTAGATTTGCTGTCGTTGTAGGTAGATTTGCTGTCGTTGTAGGTATATTTGCTGTCGTTGTAGGTAGATTTGCTGTCGTTGTAGGTAGATTTGCTGTCGTTGTAGGTTGATTTGCTGTCGTTGTAGGTATATTTGCTGTCGTTGTAGGTATATTTGCTGTCGTTGTAGGTAGATTTGCTGTCGTTGTAGGTAGATTTGCTGTCGTTGTAGGTTGATTTGCTGTCGTTGTAGGTATATTTGCTGTCGTTGTAGGTATATTTGCTGTCGTTGTAGGTAGATTTGCTGTCGTTGTAGGTAGATTTGCTGTCGCTGTAGGTAGATTTGCTGTCGTTGTAGGTATATTTGCTGTCGTTGTAGGTATATTTGCTGTCGTTGTAGGTAGATTTGCTGTCGTTGTAGGTAGATTTGCTGCGCGTGTAGGTAGATTTGCTGTCGTTGTAGGTATATTTGCTGTCGTTGTAGTATATTTGCTGTCGTTGTAGGTAGATTTGCTGTCGTTGTAGGTAGATTTACTTTCGTTGTAGGTAGATTTGCTTTCGTTGTAGGTAATTTTACTTTCGTTGTAGGTAGATTTACTTTCGTTGTAGGTAGATTTACTTTCGTTGTAGGTAGATTTACTGTCGTTGTAGGTTATTTACGTCGTTGTAGGTGATTGTACTTCGTTGTAGGTAGATTTACTGTCGTTGTAGGTAGATTTACTTTCGTTGTAGTATGATTTACTTTCGTTGTAGGTTGATTTACTGTCGTTGTAGGTGATTTGCTTTCGTTGTAGGTATATTTGCTTTCGTTGTAGGTATGATTTACTTTCGTTGTAGGTCGATGTATTACTTTCGTTGTAGGTTGATTTACTGTCGTTGTAGATTGATTTACTTTTGTTGTAGGTATATTTGCTGTCGTTGTAGGTATATTTGCTGTCGTTGTAGGTAGATTTGCTGTCGTTGTAGGTAGATTTGCTGTCGTTGTAAGTAGATTTGCTGTCGTTGTAGGTAGATTTGCTGTCGTTGTAGGTTGATTTACTTTCGTTGTAGGTTGATTTACTTTTGTTGTAGGTTGATTTACTATCGTTGTAGATTGATTTATTCTTATGATTTTTGTGGTAGGTTCAGTACGTTTTGAAATTGACGTTATAATACCTGCGAGATAAAACAAAATTATTTTAGGTGGGAAACTGAGTACAATAGCCGGGTTAAGACAATCGTATATATCAACAGTGGGTTTAAAGTTATTGCCTTAATTATCCTGCTTACCATACGTTTTGCTGAATGCAAAGTTAGTTACTTTCGTCGGAAAAACATATTTTAGTACAATCTGTATTTCAAACCATATAGTTTCCCCCCCCAGAGAAAAAAAGAAAGCAATGGTCGTTGTTCCCATCCTGAATGTTGATTAGGCGGTTGTAATAATACTACAATCATTTCTATAATAAAATTGCAGCATTTTTCCTTGTTTACAGAAAGTTAACTTTGTAATGATAGGTAATATGTAATAATGTTAACTTTCCTCACTAATAAACTTGTTTAAAAAATACTCGAAAGCGACAAAATTAGGTCAAAATCTTGTTATAATAAGATAACTCACCCCTCGTTGTTTGAGGAATAAATTTCTCGGTCGGTTGCAGAGCGGTTTCTGTAACATATAATTAAAATGATATAAATTTTATATATTGTGATGTTTTAAGATAATTTATTCCTACAAAGTTAAGTGTATTTGAGAAGGGCGAAAAAAATGAAACCCAACCCGCTTTTTGGCACTACTTTTGGCACATGCGCCTCGGACAAGCGTTTGGGCGCGAGATTGTTTCATTTGTTTGAAAATTTTGAATTTATAGGGAACTTGCCAGTAATCAGGGTCGTAGCTAGAAGCTCAATTGAGGGAGAGGGAGAATACTCGTATATTCATGTTCAAATTAGCGTGTCACACAAAGGATGTCAGTAAAACGAGTCGGTTTTAGGACAAATATATTAATATTCGCCCCACTCCCTAATTAAGCTTCTAGCAGTAATTCCAGCAAATCACGCTGCTCCAAATTAGCTAAAATTTCTTCCACTCGTACAGGCTCATATTGTTAACGGACAACTTATATAAAATTGAGAGCAGTGCACAGGGACCGCGGAGGGGGGGGGGGCTGGGGGGCTTTAGCCCCCAATTTTCTAAATACACGTGATTCCTTTATAGCGATTTTTATATGGCCATAATAATACGAATAAAAACTCCTTAAAGTAAGTTGTGTAATCATAATTATGTTTCACTATCCCTGTCGGTGAACAATGTTTTTATTGAAGTGTTCACAAGAAAAATATAAATAGATAAGTATGGACCCCCCCCGAGAGTTCACTCTTTCGGCTTCGCTAGCCCCCCCCCCCAAACAAAAAACTGCACCGCAGTCCCTGTTTAATATTTTATAAAACGAAAAGTTTTTAATTTTTGATGCGAAGACCGCTGGAGAACTGAGCCCTCTGTATATATGCTGAGAGAAAATTTGCCGAATATGAGCAACGTGAATTAGAAGACTGAAGAGCTTCTAATTCGTAATTTTGATTACCTTTGATAATGACAACTACTCTCAGAATCTGTGTAGGAGGTTGTCCAACGTCTGATTTTTTGTACAACAGAGCAAAAAATGTGCCATTGGAAGTTAGCGTAGCGTTATATACACTAAATGTAAACCTGCCACTATTCCCGAACGAACCAGTAGCAACGAAATCCATGGAATGATCATATACCATTTGGTACAATTTATGCAACCCAGCAAGTTCAACTTTATCTTTATATCCATTAGGATAAATTGAAAAATACCAATCCATACTTTCCATTTCCTCAAGTGGTGCGCATGTATATGCAATGTTGATAGTAAAGTTTGATCCGACTTGAACACTTATATCATAGTCGTCTTTTGGGCTTGTAATGTTGCAAGCCTGACCTAAAATAGAACCGTTGATTGTTTTCTAGTTGGGAAAAGATTCTCCTGCAGGGGTTTATAGCCAGACTTTCAAAGGGGGCTCTTTGCATTGATATACATGTCAACAGCATTAGAAAGAAATTCAAACTTTGCTCTTAACAGTTTTAAAAAATTGATATGCATTTTTTAAATTCGGTCAGTTTTTTTTCACGCTTCTTAAATCTTAATTTTGGCCAATCGAAATAAATCGCGCGGTCGCATGTAACATGCATGCAAAATATTTGTTACCATCTTATTGGCGTTTAGGGGCTCATTGGACTTCCAGCTTCTTTGTGCTTAACATCAGCTACGGGTGAGGACTGTTTTCTGGCCGACACGTTACGTTAACAAAAAGTGTAATGATTAGTAGTGCGTGTTAATATGCGCACCCAGGTTCCAGGTATCTTGTATTTGCACGCTTTCTTAGCGTACCCGACCAAAGCTAAACCACACGCATATTCTGTGCACTCGATCAAAGTTAAACGACACTGTCACTGCACGTATACTTCTGTATACCCGATCAAAACTAAACGAATGTACGCATATTCTGTATACTCGATCGAAGATAAACGGCACTGCACGAATAGTTTGTGTACACGGTCAAAATTAAACGACTGAAAGCATATTCTGTTAACTTGATCGAAGCTTAACGACTGCAGGCTTTTTCTGCGCGATCAAAATTAAACGTCTGTACGCAAATTCTGTGTCTCGATCAAAACTTAACGACTGCACCTATTATACCAAACTCTATTATACTAAGGGGCTGATTACATGGTGTCTTTTCAGTCTGGTGTCACAGCGGATTTGGACCCCCTGCGGATATGGACCCCCGGTCCATATCCGCTAGCTGATTTGGACGCCCCCGGTCCATATCCGCTAGCGGATACGTACCCCCCTCCGCGGATTTGGACCCCCAAAATTCAGATAAAATTATAAGCCGCTCGTTTCAAACATCGTGCTTTTCATGTGCTGAGCTTAATTATAGCATTTTGCGCATGATTAACCCGAAGTTTGAAAATTTAGGCAATAGTAAATATTTACACATAGTCATAATAATATATATTGATATTTATTACCTAAAACAATATAACAATTTACAATCAGTTTAGTGTGATCTAAGTTCAGTTTAGTGTGATCTAAATTCATTTTTAGGGGGGTCCAAATCCGCTGGGACACCGGCAAACCAGGCCAAATGTATTTTTCAATTACATGCGGCAAGTTGCAGCCCGGGCTGAAAAGTTATAGCGCCTAATTTCTAATTCAATTTACAATTACCGTAAGTTACAGTAAAGAAAAAGCCTCTATACGTCCCTCATTCCCACACTCGTACTTGTCGCAATTTTAAGACCCGTTTACTGTTTACACGATGCCGTTTTCATTTGAAAACGGTATTAAATTATGCCGTTTCGGCCTTGCGTTTACACAATATTGCCAAAAATTGAAACGGAAACGGCACAAAATGAAAACGTAGTCCTTAACGGCGAAGTACGAAAACGGGACACGTGTGCCGTTAATTTTTACGACGGATAGATGAGAGGAATAGATTTCATCCGATTTGGATGCTTGTGTGCAGCTCTTTTCATTAATATAATTTTGATAATTTTAACAACATAGCTGTGTAGTGTGTATACAGCCAAGCGGGAAAACTTTCCTGTCCTGGAAGAATGGTAAGATTATGACTGAAGCCCCGTTTACTCTACACTCAATTTATTGGCACGGCACGGCTAAAATGGGTATTTCAATTTTGAAATATAAAAAACTGTTACAAACCAGAAGCCACGGGGCTTAAATTTCTTATTAGTAACATGGATAATAAAATCACTATCCATGCTGGCATGCATGTCTTTTAACTATCCATGTTAGTAATTAATCCACTCCATGTAAAATTACTCTGATCTGGCGGCCTTCGGTGTTCTCTCTCTACTAGCTCTTTTCGGTGTCATGTTTTCTGCGATATTCTGGTTTAAAATCTTATTAATATTGGAAAAGAAATGCCACATGGCAAACAATTATAATTTTGTACCGGCATCGTGCAATTTTTGCGTCGTTTTCAAACATAAACAATACAGTTCATATTCGCATTTAGATGCCTTGCGAACATAAATGTTCTTCGATCTCGTAATTCAGAAGCACATCGTACTTTAAAAAGTATAGAAGTTCTAGAAAAAGGATACATTCGCTTTGTCTCACACTTTGCCTTTGGAATTCGCGATATATTAGATCTTCAATCCTGTGCAAACCAGCCTCGTACCCAGGCGCTTTAAAATATATAACGTTGCATTCAGGTTCTATATAGAGTTCAGCTGAAAAAACGCGAGCGCGCGGGGGTGCTTGGGGAGGTTGTTTTTAAATTTGTTTAAAGTTGTTGGCTAAATTTGCCAAAACCTCCCCAAGCACCCCCACGCGCTCGCGTTTTTTCAGCTGAACTCTATATAAGACCTGAATGCAACGTTATATATTTTAAAGCGCCTGGGTACGAGGCTGTGTGCAAACTACGACGTGTCAACGCGCCCATATACGACAACATCATCTTGTTAAACGGCGAAATAGCAGCGATATTATTAAAATAGGACCAGAATCTACATGTATTAAATATATTTTTACCCCAATTCAATCTAAACTTAATCGAACAGCATGAAAAGAATGGTTTATTTGTTCCTCTTGGAGGAATTGCCGTATCATGCGAGCGAAATCGAATCGCACATCGGAAAATTAGCCAAAGCTGTGCACCACAACTCTTGGGTGATAAGATTGGGACGTAGATAAATATACGGTCACACACACACACACATCTCAAATACTAGTATACTTCGCGCCATTACAGACTTGCGACGACGAAAAAAAGAAGAAAAAACAACAAAATCGAGGCGAGACTATACGTTTACACTATTCCGGAGCGAAAAAGTGACGGCAGAATATAAAATTAATTCTAATGTCAATTTTTCGCGTAGTGCAGTGTAAACGCAACCTCGTTTTGATACTTTTTTGCACCGTTTTCAGACAAATCCGGTCATCCGGAGTAGTGTAAACGTAGTCTACAGACGACGCGTTGCTAATTTTTTTGACAGCCGTGATCCAACCACACTAAATGCAATTTAAGATATTTACAGGAAAGGAAATATGCACGTTGTTATTACCGTATCCTTCACTGATAGCCGAAAGAAGGATTACCAAATGTCTGACAAGTCTTGATAGGAAAATCGACGTCATGTCTGAATTCGCAAAAAAATATAAGCATCGAGTAAATAAATCGAAAAATTATACAACATATTTAGGGTTTTTTGTCATTTTAGAACGGGCCTGATCAGTTATGAAACAACGCAAATAAATCTCATCTGAAGATGAAGTTCCTGTCGTTCCTTCGATTATGCGGCTAAATCTAATAATTTAAAATTTTGATTGAGATACAAGCGCTCCTTCAATATTCAACCTCTCGTATTCACAGTAATTCATGTTCGTCAACAACACCTGTTACTCACAGTAAAGGCTTGTTTACATGGAGCAAGTTATCCCGGCTAGGCGAGGTAAAAACTGCATCTCGCCTACCCGGAATAACTCGCTCCATGTAAACAGGCCCTAATTCATGTTCGTCAACAGTAATTACACTGTTACAAATTCGACTCCAGTGTTTACATTTTCAAACCCCTTCGACAATAGTGCGAAGAGTTCATAAACCCAACGCGATAAGATATTCAACATTGATCGAAGGATTTGATAACTTTTATAAACATTTCTGTCCAGGATTAACCCCGACTGCCTCAAATGCATCTGGTTTATTCAGCCTGTCAAACGAGAGCCTTATATGTTTGTTTATGTCGCATGCGTGTATATCGCTAGCTAAACATGAAATGATTACATTAATAAATGGTTTAACTTACTTTCATTAAGTCTGACAAATTCTCAGGAAGTCATCAATGTTCAATACAGATCAATTTAAGCATTGCTATGTATTTACGTTCGCAACTTTCAATTGTACGAAGCGGGGCGGGGGCAAGTTAAATATTTTCAAGATGGGCGTCATAAGGCTCTCGATCCAATCTTATTAAAAAAACACCACACAAAATACATAATGAGTTCCTAGCCATTACTTTGGGTTACAGTTGATAATGTAAACGGACGCTAAAACATATATTTTATAGTTTATTGCCGTGAGTTCGAATAATTATAACGAAGCTTCTCGCCTTCTTCTAAAAGCAAGATCGTAAACGTTTAACAGGACCAATTTTGTCGCCATGCCGTAGACCTTTTTGGTAATTACGTCACAAGATTTTAACGTCACAACGTTTCAAATTTAGAACCACCTTACATGAAATGGATTTCAAGTTTTACTCTCGCCACGTGCAAAGATGTGAACATCCTTCTTCAACACATGCATGAAAATTTTTTTATTTTGACCGATCAATGTGGGAATACTGAAGTCATAAGACGATAACGAGGCTGAGGGGCCAAGACCGCTAGCCTCGTTCACGCGTTATGTCGTATTTCCATACTTATTAATCAAAATGAAAAATTATTTTTCATGCATGTGTTGAAGAAGGATGTTTTGCATCTTTGCACTTAGCTTGTGAGAGTAAAACTTGAAATCCATCTCATTTAAGTTGTTTCGAAAAGGTCCATTCACTTCTGATGGATGTTTTATAGTCCGTTAACTTGCAATTTATATGGGTAGAAATTCCACTAAAACCAACGCTGTACTTCTTTATTAATAACAAACTACATGCCATACGTCAGAAGTGAATTGGATCCGACAAAGTGGAATCGTGTGAATGGGCCTTAATTTAGACTTATAAATTCAGTCGCATAGTTCAGTAATCATTCGTCAGAATAACCACCACACTGTAGCAGGCGATGACAACATGCATGCACAAGGCTAAAGGCCCTGTACACTGTGCAATTTTCTTGCAACTTTGCAACACACAATGCAATTTCGAGTTTTTCCACGTTATTTCGAGCTAGTAAATAAATGGTTAATGTAGA